GTCATGCGAGTCGATTCAGCCTTGACCGTCGGTGAGTACGTCTCGAGGTAGTCGATGCCGTACTTTTGGTGGCAGCTCCGGATCACGAGTCGCGCTTTGTGAGTCGTGGTGCCGTCGGGGTTTATCTTGCGCTTGAAAAACCAACGGCTGGACAAAGCACCACGTCCAGGTGGCTCTTGGACGTCTTGGAAGCACTGCATGCTCGGCGCGTGACGGTTGGGAAACCCGTTTTCGAAGAAGCGGACATCGACTGCGATCGCGACCATCTTGGTTTCCAAGTCGTAGAGCTTGTAGGCCTTGTGGTTAGTCGTGTAGCCCAAGAACATGAACATGTTGGCCTGGCTGCTGATCTTGTTTGTGTCATCAACCTTGCGGTAGCACAGGCAGCCAAAGACCTTCAAGTTGGCAATGTTGGGCTTGGTCCCATGGAGCAACTCGTACGGAGTCTTGCCGTCCGTGTTTACGTTGGGCGTGCGGTTGCGCAAGAACGCCGCAGTGTGGACGGCTTCGGCCCACCAACTTGGCCGTGCGTTCGCGTGGAGCATGATAGTGCGAGACGTCGTGATTAGTGTGTGGCTCATGCGTTCAGCCTTGCCGTTTTGATACTGGCGGTGGGGAACACTGCGCTCGTGGTTGATTCCAAAGGCTTCGAGGTACTCTTGGGCATCGTCGTTGACAAACTCAGTGTCGTTGTCCGAGTGGAACGTGGTCACGTAGACGCCAGTTTGGTTTTCAAGCCACGCGTGGAATTGTTGCAAGCTGGCCAGAACTTCATCGGCCGATTTGGTCTTGAGTGGGTAGACGGCCGTGTAGTTGGAGTGCGCTTCGGTGTAGGCCACAAAGTACTTGCAGCCTCCCATGGTCTGCACTGGTGAGGGGCCCCAGGTGTCCGCATGGGTGGTAGTGCCAAGGGGCTTGGACCCGCGTCCACCGTGGCGTGGGTGAGCAATTTCCGTCGTTTCGCCACGGACACAGCCATCACAACGATTCGGATGCGGCAGCTGCGAGGGACCGCCGTGCGTTGCTTTGAGGATTGCCTGGGTTGACGCCGCGTGGGGATGCCCAAGTCGCGCGTGCCAGATTGACGGTGCTTCGTTAGCGACGAGATACGCAATCTCTACGTCGGCACTCGACGGCAGCAGCACGCTCGCATCCAATTCATACAAGCTATTGGTGGTAACGGCTTGGATCGAGACTTCTGGGCCGACCACGATATCCATGACGTTGTCTTAAAAGACCACTTGAGCCCTCGGGTTGGACCGCGTGAGCTGCGAGATTGATATGTAGCGTCTTGCGGAGCGTTGGCACGTGCAGCGTGTCTTGGAAAACTGCCGTCTTGCCCGTTGTAATGGACTGGACGCGGAGCTCGCCCTTGGCCTTGACCAACATCGTGTGGCCGTCGGCCAGTTGACGCTGCGGCGACATTTCATGACGTTGTGGAGCAACGAGAGATCGCCGGTCATGTGCGACGAGGCACCGCTGTCCATGATGAAGGACGGACCTTGGAGGCACGGCGCGGTGTTGTCGACGTGGTTGGCTTGGTCGTCGCTGCATGCAGCTGCGTGGTCTTCGGCAATGCTCCAAGTGACCGTTGGCACCAACGAGTCGTTGGTGCCGCACTCGTACACACCCATTGGTGGAAAATCGCGATATTCGGTCTTTGATTGGTCAAAATCGTTGGAAAACGGGCATGTTGCCGCCGCGCCACGGGTTGCCGCTGTGTTTTTGGCGTAGTCTGGCGTTGGCTTCATCGCGCTTCTTGTTGCGGCACTCGCTGAGGTCGTGGCCTTTCCATTCGCAGTACGTGCAGAATTTGTCACCAGCCTCCGTGTGATAGGCTTCGTCGGTGCCACGAACCTTGGACGCGCTGGCGTTGGTCTTCGAAGTGTGGGCGATCCGATCGGCAACAATTTCAACGGACTTGATCACGGCGATCAAGGAGCAGTATTCGGGGTCATTCTTGGCAATGTGCTCGAGGATCGAGTCGACCTTGGCTTCAAAACTCGATGGTAGTAAGTAGAGGAACTCGACGATGCGGTCGGCCTCGGGGGTCATGTCGCCAGCTTCAAACATCTTACGGACGCACTCTTGGAATCGGTGGACGAACGTGGCGTACGTTTCATTGGGTTTCCATGTTAGAGTCGAGAGCTCGCGGCGGAGCAGCATCTTGTTGACGATGGTGGTCTTCTCGTTGGCTTCCTTCAAGTGGCGCCAAGCGAGGTTCATATGGACGATGTACGGGTCTGCTTTCTCGAAGTCGGTTTCCTTGATGTACTTGAGGTTGTCGCGGTGGATGGAATCGGGTGCTCGACGTCAAGTACTTGCGGAGCTTTTGCTGGCAGATCTTCTGTTCGACATGGTCGGACCATTCGGGGTAGTTCGTCCCGTCGGCGTTGAGCTTGATGGTCTCCTTGACGACGTATTGCGTTGGGCTCATAACCTTTAGCGATGTTGGGCACAGAGTTGGCCAAGGAGAAGAGGTGACTGAGCAGGCGAAGGGAGAAAAGCAAAGTGAGTAGATTGTTGGAGTTTTAACAGAAGCTAGTCTGAGGACATAGATATGCAGTTTTCAGCAAGATGTGTCATGCTTGTCGCAGGATGAACGGCTTATGGGTAAGCCACACAACAGTGTCTGACTGTGGTTCACATTTCAAAAACGAGATCATCCACAAAGTCTATTGTCTGTTCGGTGCGCACCATCATTATGTTATTTGACGTTGTCGGTGGGCGAACGGGACTATTGAAGTTGTCAAACGGGTCATTGTCCCGACCTTGCTTTGCAGTGAATGCTTTTAGAACCGGGAGCGTGGCCCTCAATTCTACCTCTAATTCAATCTGCTTTAAACCAGCAACCGTCTGAGCACCAGATGCGGATTGCCCCTGCAACGGCCGTTACGGGACTCCCTGCGACCCTTGCCTGGTATTGTACACCCAAGGATGTCCGGGAGTTGAAGATTGACTGGGTCAACGCTGAGGTGAAGCGTCATGTTGACGAACTGGCAAGTGCATGGACTTTATGCACACAAACTTCCCTGAAAGTGCTGCTGAGAAACGTGCAAAGGCCAAAAAGCCGTAAGCGGCATTTGCGAAAATTTGCTTTGGGTGATTTTGCTCTTGTGGCACGGGCCTTGCAGCGTCCGGGGAAGTTGACCCTACGATGGGAAAGGCTTACCGGATTATAAACGTTGTTTCTGATCGCCTTATGGTGTGCAAGCAATCGGTGCCGCCGGGAGCAATTTCGCTTCACCGATAGCCGCACGCGTGTATTGCGAAGGTGGCTGGGACCAGGATGAGGATTTGAAGTCCCAAATTGCCTTTGGTGACGAAGTTTTTTACGTGGAATCTCTAATTGCCTTACGTTTACTCGACGGTTTGTGGCGAGTGCTCGTGAAGTGTTGAGTCGTCATGGGAACCGGCACTGTCATAGTACGAGCATGTGCCTGCTTTGTTTCGTCGTTGGGCGACGAGCAAGGATCAATGATGATGACGTGTGCGAAAAGCTCGAAGACATTGAGCACACATCTGCCACCTCTTGTAGAGGGGAAGTGTTTCCGGCCGAGTCGCGATTTCACCAACACGTGCTACAGTACGAGTGTGTGTTGGTGATGCGCGAGAAGGTTACTCCTGGCATTTTGGTTTGTCCCAGTCAGTAGATTCGGTAAATGTGCGATTGTATGCCTTTGCAGTGGACCGCCAATGCGATCGCCCGGTCGTTCTTAAGTGCGATTGTGATGCTTTGCCGTGGATCGCCGCTGTGATGGCTCGGTCGTTCACCGTGTCGTCGACTGTGCAGTTCACTGAGTCGCAGTGGAACACGACAAGCCGTCGGTCACGAACACCGGCGCAAGACAAGACGTACCTCGATGCCTTTCGTGAACATGTAATCATTATGCCTCGCACTTATGCTTGCCTAAAAATAATAGATGAATACGTACTTGCGCCGGCGTCCCCCAACTTGGACTAACCAATAGGTCACCAAACCAGTTCGTCACATATTACGGAAGAGCATGAATGTCATAGTGAAAGCCTCGTGTGTATCCAACTTGCTTTTGCAACTGACGATTTGCTGTCGTATTTCCGATGTAATATAGTGTTTTCGCAATGAGCCTGCAAGTCGGAAATGACCAACTCATTTCCAAAATGATTCGGTGGTACAGTATAACTGAACAGATCGGAATC